AGATAGATAGATAGATAGATAGATAGATAGATAGATAGATAGATAGAGATAGGTAGGCAGGCCTGGCCTACATAGTCAGCTGTAGGGCCAAGGCTACATAGTGAGACCTTGTCTCAAATTTTTAATTTATTTTTATTTCATGTGTTTTGCCTGATGTATGTATGTACACTCTATGTGTGCCTGGCACCCTTGAGGGACAGAAGTGTGTGTTGGTCAGCTGCTACTGGAGTTACAGATACTTGTAAACTATGAGTTTGCTAAGAGTCAAGCTCAAGTCCTTTGCAAGTGCCATCTCTCCAGTCCCCCTGTGTGGGGTCTAGGGAGGAATTTAGGACATTAGGTATGCTCTTGATATGGATAGTCTGTCTGTCGTTTCTGGATGCCATGAGGCATCAGACTATTTGAACAGGTGCTCCTAGCTGTGATGTGCTGTTACACAGCCTCAAAAGTAATGGAGCCAACTGACCATTGACTAAAGCTGCTGAAACCATGAGCCAGAATAAGCCTTCCCTCAATTCAAACTCTCTCAAGTACACATTGTTGGAAATATGACTAACACGAGCACAGACACCTTCATAGTCTCCCTGGAACCACAGGCTAAGTACATGTTTACCTGGCCTTACACTGGCCTTATGATCTAGACACATCTGACCCCTTGAAATTTGTTTTATAATGTGTCTTCCCACTGCCTGTCCCATAAGTTCTGATTGTCACCATCTCTGTGGCTTTATTGAAACAATTCTATGACTTTCTCTTTTCCCACATCTTTAGTGTTGGTTCTGGACTATGGCCTCTAGAGAGGCCACTTTGATTCCACTGACCAATCCTCCCTCCTTTTGGTTCACAGACCAGGTTTCGAGGCTCAGAACAAGGACTCACTCCTGACAGTTGCTGTCAAAGCTGAAGACACATTTCTGCAGACTGTCCAGAGTCATGAGGCTGACATGCTCAAACATGTCCAGACGGGCATTGCCTTCTGAAATCAACCGTTGCCACTTGGCCTGGCAGAAGAAGATGGGGCTGATGTTAGATTTTGGCTCCTTGAGACCTTACCTAATTTCAACTCCTGACCCAGCTTTCTCATTTTATGCTACAGCCACCCAAACCCATAGCCAGTGTTTGGGACAGAGGTGTTGTAACCCTGTATTCCAGCAACTCACATGCATGATGTTGGTGCTGTCGTTGAAAATCTTCACATAGGGTTTCAGGATGTTGAAATGGAAGGCGGGTGTCAGCATGCGACGGTGGCGGCTCCACTTGTCACCAGCACTCACCAAGAGCCCATCCCCTGATACAGCAGCCATAGTATAAGGCAAGAGTAGCACCATTCCCTGACCCCCAAGGGTGTCCCTCGCCTGTCACCTTCAGGTACTCACCGAGCCAAGGCTTTAGGATGCTGTAGAATATCACATCCTTAAGTGCAACAGCAGCTGCCATGAACAAGGACAGCCAGGGGTCATGGTGTGGGTGAGGACAGACTGTGAAAGGTGGGTGGGAACCCCTCCCAGAAGTCTGCACTTCCCTTCCAAAGTCCACATGCCAAAAACCAAGGATAGAGGAAGCAAAATGAAGCTGAGAGTAAGAAAAGACAGAAGTAGGCAACAGCAGTGTCAGCAGGTAAGACAAACTCACAGTTCAATACATCACATGATGCTGCAGTGCCACTACATGCCTTGTACATAGTCTAACATGTATGCCATACCTGAGTCCATCACAATTCTGTGGCATTTGTTGAAACCTATGTTGCTATCATCGAGGCACCCTCAGTATCTGAGATCCCCTGAACCAATATGGGACACATCACATGAACACATAAGGGTTAACATGGCATAGCATGGCCTTAGCACACATAATTACCCTGACATGATGCCTCATGCTATAACATGGACCAGATTATCTGACAGACTTTATGTATACCTCAGACAAGCATCTCCCAAGATTTGAGAACAGTCATGTGTGGTGGTTTGAATGAGAGTGTGTCCCATAGGCGTGTGTTTGAACACCTGTTCTCCAGATGGTGGCACCGTTTAGGGAGGTTTAGTAGGTGCTGCTTTGCTGAAGGAAATACCTCACTTGGAGCAGGTTTTGAAAGTTCACGGACTCTCCTTACTTTTTGATTGCTGTTCCTGCTTTGTGCTTATGGCTGAGTATGTGATCTCTCAGCTTCCTACTCTTGTCACCAGGACTCTGTCAACATTATGGACTGTCTTTCTGAAACTATAATCCAAAAATAAATTCTTCCTCTATGAGTTCCCTTTGTCATGGTATTTTATCACAGGAACAGAAAACTAACTAAGGCATGATGGCTCTTGTAATTTCCAATACTTCAGAGGTTTTCAAGCAAAAAAAAAAAAAAATCAATCCAGAGTTTGGAGCTAGTTTCGATGGAGTAGCAAAACAAAACAGTCTCCAAAAAACCAAAAGCTCCATTAATAACCTGAATGTGGCCTAGACTGTGACCCACTGATCCTACCTGGATGTTCTTAAAGTCTTGCCTTATGGGGCTGGAGAGATGGCTCAGCGGTTAAGAGTACTGACTGCTCTATCAGAGGTCCTGAGTTCAATTCCCAGCAATCACATGGTGGCTCACAGTCATCTGTAATGAAATCTGATGCCCTCTTCTACTGTGTCTAAAGACAGCTACAGTGTACTCATATACATAAAATAAATAAATAATTCTTTAAAAAAAAAGTCTTGCCTTAGATACGACTCTGATAAGGGATCCATCATTTCTCAGCAGGACCCTGAGTCCTAGGTCTCAGATAGCCCCCAAAGAAAGCCCAGTTGTGAAAAGCAAGATAAGAAAGCCATTTCCAATGGCTTCTCACACAAATATTCAGGGCTGCAGTTAAGCACAGACATACCCATGTTCATGAAATTCCAGGTGAGACAAATATAAATGCAAAACAAGAGATGGAAATGTAAATGTGAACCTGCAAGAGCTGTGACCATGCAGATTGCATCACACAATTATGCTCACAACACAGGCAACATGATCAGACATGAGACAGAGGACGTCCATGTGAGAAAGATACTGGGTTGTCACTGCCACAGCCCAGCCTGCCTGATTCACATTGCATTATCAGCTGGAGGCATCACAGAGACCTCAGTGGTGGGCAAGCTGGAGCCAGTACAGTGTCCACCTGGAGTAAAAAGCATGGGCTTTGTGAAAGTGGCACGGTCTGGACTGGGGGACTCAGTAGATATAAGCACTTGCTGCATAAGCCTGAGGATCAAAGCATGGATCCTCCAAACCAGATGTGGCAGCACATGTTTCTAACTCCAGATAAGGTAGGAGCCAGGTACAAGATGGTTCTCTGTCTGCCCTGGATGCCTGCGATTCAGCTAGCATGCATCTACAGAAGCAGACCGTGAGGGACCCTGCCTCAAACAAGGCGGAAGGCAAGGATCAAGGTGTCCTCTGCCCTCCACATGTATGCTACAGCATATGCATGCCTGCACTCACACAAATATGCCCTTTCACAAATATTTTTAAAAGTAAAGTGGAGTGGTTGATTCATGTCTTTAAGTTCCAGGGCACACTTGAAATAAGTTGGCAGCCAGAGTGTCAGACTCATGCCTGGCAAATGACAAAGCTGTGGCAATCCATCTCTTTCCCTTAATCTGGCCTATCCCAAGATGGGAAGACAAGAATGCAGAAGTAGGAAGCTAGGCTGTGCTAGGGGAGATTTCTGGGCTCTGAGAAGATACAACATATGATGTTCAAAGGACAGGGTGGAAAGATGTACTCAGAGTTGGGTAGTACAGAAACAACAGACCAGATTCTCTAACAGCCACACATCCTTTCCTTGCTCTGAGCATAGGAATGTTTATTTTTCTGGTTCTAGGTCTGAGTGTTAGATGTTTCTGATGACCACTGGGCCACCTGACCCTGGCTTCAACATTCCTACTCAAACCTGAAGACATGGCTTAAGCAACAGTTCCTCCAGGAAGCATTTGCATACATCCTAGCAGAGACCACATCCTCCACTCAACTGTCAGGGTCCTGACCACACAAGGTTAGAGATGTCCCAAGTTTCCCTGTCAACTTCTACCTCAAGAACTGACTTCCTCTAGGAGAGGACCTTGTCTTGAAGACATCTGGGGATGCAGGCAGAGTGTCCAGAATACTGGGATGAAGTAGTCGTACACCAAGTAATAGTAGAGGGAGCTGGTGAAAACATGAAGAGAAGAGAGAGAGAGAGAGAGAGAGAGAGAGAGAGAGAGAGAGAGAGAGATTGACAGGGAAGTAAGGAGGGACTGGACCACTGTCAGAGCCACATAGAAGGGACTTGAAGCCCTCAGATTCCCACAACCAACAGCTTCCATGGGTACCTGAGGCATTGAGGATAGATCGAACGATGTCAGAATGGCACAGAGTAATAACAGGAACCATTGGCCCAATCCACATCAAAAAGCCTTGGGGGTAGGTACCCACCAACTGAGTCAATTCCTTCATGCCCTGTTCTGTAGGAGTTACCTGCAAATAATACAAGGACAGTCACTTCTTGAGATAGTTTATATGGAGGATCAAGTTGGCTGAGTTAAGTGATGCCCAGATACAGATGCTCATGACCTCTGGGTGTGTCTGTGTTGATGTTTCAACAAATATATATTATTTGCATTGGTGCACAGTGTGGACAGCACCATCCAACCCACTGAAGATCTAGAGACAATAGGCAGAGAAGGGGACATTTAGTCTTATTTCCAGAGCTGGGAAATACATCCTCTCCTGCCATCAGGTAACAAAATTCAGGTCCTTGTGACATTGAACTCGAATATTTACACCTGATCCCCCATACATCCCTGGGTTCTCACACTGCTGTTCTACATCTGAGTTGCTCAAAAGCCTACCTTTCTGGAATTCCAGTTTGCAGATGAGGTACTCTTCAGTCTCCATAAAGATATAAGCCAATTCCCATAATGCAGTGTAACCCTTCTTTCTTCTACCTTACTTTATATATATGTAAAGATATGTATCTGTATGTATACATGACTGTATATACGTGATCATGTACTGAATAATAAATAATATTTTTTGTCAAAGACTGTACAGATAACTTTGATCTCTTAAGTCTGCAATGAAGCTAAAGAATTTCTATTGCTTGTTATTTTTCTACACATTTCTATGTTTAGATACTTTCAGATGCATAAATACCATGGTATCACAAATTATCTTCATTGTTCAGGGTAGCATCATGATGTACAGACAAGAATATTAGACTAACAATTGGTACCATGTAGCGCAGGTGGGCAGTAGACTACTAGGTTTGTGTCAGTAAACCCTAATGGCATCACAATGACAGTACTACTTCAGGACAAATTTCTCAGAATGTTCTTATCATGCCTTGATATATCACTCCCTGTGTCTGTCTGTCTGTCTGTCTGTCTGTCTGTCTGTCTGTCTGTCTGTTTCTCTCTCTGTGTGTGTGTATACTATTGGTTCGACTTCTCCAGAAAACCATAACTAAGTCACTTTCCCATGATCATCAGAGAGTCCCTTCTACAGCCTCTGGCAGTGACACAGTCTCTGTCATAAGTGAACCAGTATCCTGGTTATGCAGGAATGAAGAGAATCCTTGCCTCTGTCAGTTTTGTTCCTTCCAGAGCCATGCTCAAGCCCTAAGCATCCATTTCAGGCCCCACAGTGGACAATTTATACTGTCTACCTACGACCTTTTGTGTCCTGACTGGTCCACAAAGTCTCCAGTTCCTCCCCTGGACAAAGAGTCACACACAAAGGACCTTCCAGCCTTGGTAGGTTCCAGGGGAAAAGAAGTGACCTCCATGTCTCCATTAGGGTGGCAGCTCCCTCCCACCAGCACTGGCTGCCCACTAGCCTCAGACAGAGCATCCTGAACCTCTGTATACAGCCCACACTGAGCTATTCGCAAGCGAAATACCTGGGGCTAAGCCACCTAAGTGGAAGAGCAGATGTAAATCAAAGTCCATAGTATGGGGTAAAGGTTGGGTTCAAAGAAGGTTCATGGGAGGGTGAGCAGACAGCTTGTATCCAGGTAGCAAGACAGGGTTCACCGCCTATCTTAGGGAACAAAAGCATGATAAGGAGAAAGTGGCCCAGGGAGGGGCAGTGGAAAGTCAGCCTGCAGCTCTGCTGTAGCCCAGCTGTGCCCTGTCTGTGTGCAGTTAAGGAGGGAGATCAAAGATCAATACTAGAAAACCATAGGACAGAGATAGGCTCACACAAAGAAACAGACACAGTCCTTCTGGAACCTCAAGTCCAACAGCAGACACTGAGGAAATGTCAGAAGTTCTCACTCTGTATATCCCACTATGAAAATCTCTCTGTATCCTTCAGTGAGAGAAATATAGTTAGAAATACTCAGAGCAGCCTACGGTGGGAGTACAGGGGGCGAGAAAGGCTTGGAAAGGCACACTAAAGGTCAGTATCACTCAACCTTCTCCGTCACTCTGAGTCCCATTCCCGATCCCTCAAAAGTCTATCCACTCTGACACTCCCACCCATCCTGATGCCATTCTTACCATGCCCACATGGCCCATAAGCCAGTTCCGTTTGGGGGGCTGAGGGAAGCCACGGAGGCGACGGTAGTTCCCATAGGCAGCATAGATCTGGATCAGAATTCGGGACAGGATCCAGGAGGCCCCAAGCAGTAGCAGGGTCTGCCAGGGGAAGGCCACCTCAGGCCCCAGTCCCAGCCAGGATAGGCTCAGCTGTGACATCCTGCTGGGTGAATAAATGTGCAGTGAGTAACTGAGGTCCCGGAAAGGAACAGGAATCTCAAGACACTGGACAGAGGACAGAGCAGAAAGGGGACATGAGATTCATGGAAATGTTGGCGAAGAGGTATTAGAGTGGAGAAGAAGATGAGAAAGGAAGAAGGAGTGTTGTGATGAGGGAGACGACCAGAGCTAGCAAAGCATGAAGGAGGAGAGATTGATTGGAGTTAATACTTCCCTAAATTATAAAAAACTAACCAGGGTTCAGTTATTCAGAAACTACTGTCCCCAAGGCCAGCTGGCTCCCTGTGGCATTCTTGCCTGGCCAACTGGCCTTCTGCCCTGCCCTGGCCTTGGGTTTTACCCTCCTTATTCCAGACTAGGTCCCTAAATATCACCACCCCCAGCTTGGCACCTTCTCTCAGTAACAGGCATCTACCATACCTTCCCTCTCCTCTTCTGGGACTCTTTTGTCTCTTGCTTCTGAATGCTTGGAGGGTGGGCCACTCTATGCCAGCCAATCCCTGACAAGCCTGGATGCCTCCTCCTTTCCTGGGAAAGTGGCCAAGATGGGGGTAGAATTAGCCTGGTGCAGAGGAGAATTATCATAGGCTTGCAAAAACATGGACATCTGAATCTTAGGAGTATTTCGGACAAGGTTGGCTCTGGGTTATGTATTTCCAGCATCCCTGCTCCTTCAAGGACATGGTACAACAAGTAAAAAAGTGAACTTTTGGAATCTACAGGCTAGGCAATCAGAATGTGGCCAATCTGGTCCCCAATCATCTCTTGAGCTTTTGTCTAAGTGGGCTGCGAGGATGGCAGGCATCAGTTTTTCAGTAGAACATTCATTAGAAGGCTATGGGAGTGGAGAGTCTGCCCACCATCTGCTCAGCCTGGTGGAGTTCAAGACCAGTCTCCTCAGCAGAGACAGGACTTCCAGAAGGAAACAAAGAATGAACCCCAATTGGGGTTTCCAGGTCCAATATTAAAGATCAAGAATGCAGCTGAGGTTGGGATGGTTAGAGCCGGAAAGTTCACCAAGTAGGGGAGTCATGTAGGGAAGAGATTGATTGAAGTTAATACCTCCTTAATTCTACAGAGATGGCATCTAGGGGGAGATAAAGCTGTTCGTGTGTGTGTGTGTGTGTGTGTGTGTGTGTGTACACCCACATGCCAGTGGAAGCCAAAACAAGAAATCTGTTCCTCTATAGCTGGAGTTACAGGTGGTAGTGAGCCACCTGATATGGATGGGTGAGTGGAACTGATCCTCTGGAAAAGCAGAAAACACACACTCTAACTGCTTAGTCATCACTCTAGTTTGCCTCCTTCCTTCCTTCCTTCCTTCCTTCCTTCCTTCCTTCCTTCCTTCCTTCCTTCCTT